TTTTCTTCTACTATTTTATTTCTTGGGTATGGAAGTGAATTGGGTGTGTTATTTGGCAGCTTCTGTGATTTATATTTATTCTTAATAGCCTGCAATTTGTTAGCATATTTTTATCAATCTTTGAGAAGCCAAAAAGTGGTTCTTTAATTCCCATCTGCTGCTTGTTTTTGAGAGTGAAGAGCTGAAAGTTAGAAAAAAGATTTAATTTTTGATCACCAATTAGACTTCAAATCATTGGAGCTATAGGTGGGGTGGTCTTTGATTTTGATTATTTTGTATTTTCTCCTCTCTTTTTTCAAAAATACAAGATAGATTTGTGGACAATGTTGTTTTGATGTAATTTTTGATAAAGCCAATTTGTGTGGGTGTACAAATTCATATAAAGATTCCATTTTTGTGAATCTTTTTTATGTTTCTTTTGTAGTGATCTCCTCCATCTTTGGTTTTCTAGCCTTTTTAGCATAAATGACCTTTAAATCCTTTTTGTTGGGTAGTCTTCTTTTTTTTTTTTTCTCCATCAACCCTTTTGTAAGGTAGTTTGGTTTTCTTTTTATAGCCTTTTATTATTGATTCTGTCTTTTCTCTTCCTTATATCAAGGTATTCTGTTCCTGAAATTCAGGTTTCTTTTGTACCTGGCATACCTTCATTTCCATTTATGCTTTCGGTTATGATTCCTGTTATTTTTTCTTTACAAATTTAGTATATGATTATCTGATTAGAAAATGACTTTCTGTTGGCAGCCAGATTCAGATACTCCAGAGGCACCGTGTTGAGTAGGGATTTGAATTGAAACGGTGTTCCTTGGCCTAAGGGGGTGCCGGGTTTATGGTTCTGTTATGTTCTTATATCAGACAATGGTGAAGGATTATATATAGTGAGGGATAAACTCCTGAAATATGGAGAAATCGCGTGAATTGCTAAGCAATGGAAAACCAGCTGATGCTGGTCTCCAAATTATAAGGCACCCTTCTTACCAATCTTGTGGTAAACTATCGTTATCTTGGTTTGATATTAGAGTTTTCTACATCAGAATTAGCAATTTTGTGGTCGACGATTCAACCCCAGAAAGTCTTACTCTTAACCATATCCCATTAAGCCCTGATACACTGCTTGAAGTAAATGGTAAAAGATGTTCCATGTATTCGGAAGGAGTTTCTTGCCTTCTTCGAAGGGACCGGGTTGATAAGAAAGCTGAAGAAGCGACATTTGTGAGCACCGATAGCATAAGATTGACAGGGAATGTGAACTTTGAGGTTTTCCATAAAGATGATCTTGTTCTCTCTGGGGTTTTGGAAATGGCCGACGTCAATGGTTTTATTAGGGAGTCTAAAGAGACTGTTTGGAGATGGAGCATGAATTGCGAATCAGTTATGAGCGCTGGCACTGGCTTTCTCAAGGGAAAACACATTGTCGGTTCTGAATCATTCTCGCCGACAATTGAAGTATATGTTGCCGGTTGCTTTTCTGGTACACCTATCATCTTAACTAAGACTCTGCAGCTGATTCACAGGAAGAAGCACCACCGAAAGGGTATGTTAGATTCCATTCCGGAGCATGAAACAGCTGAACAGCAGAAAGAAGTCTCATCTGAACATGATCTGCAGGTACTGTTTGTACTTCAAACCTTGTTTTTTATGTTTATTAACAAATATATCGTCTAGTTGGTGTTCTTGAGTTGTATGTAGTGTTCATTATAATCGAAATGTTAACCATGCAATATTGGTGATAAGGCATATGCAAATAGCCAAACTCTTTACATAGTTAACCAACAGGTGTAGTGAGTTGATCAACACCGTTGCCTTCAGTGATTGGTGTGTTTCTTACATTTATTTTGACAACTTAAAATTGCTCTGTGATCCTTCTTCCACTTATATCTCCTCCTCTTTGATTCGAACTGAATTTGAGGTTATTTTCATGGTCAAAAGAAGCTAGAAAAGTTGAGGGAAAAGAGTCTATTAAAACGTAATATTGGGGCATGTTATCTTTGAAAGTTTCCAAATGGTTTACAAAACACCAGCTATGGTGACTTGAGCAATTCTACAGTTTTTCTCTTTCAAATGATAACAAGGTACATTGTACAAAATTTCACTTGTCTGGATGGTCTTTCAAAGATTCTTGTGCGTTTGAGCCCTAAATTGTTTACATCTCTTTTCCCTGTCGGTGATCCGCCAAGAGTGATGCCTTCACTAGCTATATTGGCCGGTTCTTTCCTCAGAATTGTTATTGTTGATTGCACGTGTACCCAGCTAGAGACCGAGATGCGGGTCCGGCCGAACCTAGTAAAGAATTTGTCTCTAGAACGTCATTTAATATGTATAAATTATTAATTTAGAATCCAATAACTTAAAAGAACTAGACTCCTGAGCTTCAAATCCTGGCTCTGCCTCCGCCTATGCATGTACCTTCAGATGTGTTTCTACCCTCCTTAAATTTCCTTGACCAAATGTAAATACTTTAATGGTATTTCAATTTTTGTGCTACAAAATTCATGCTATAGTTTATTGACAGAGTGGGGACTAAAGTGATAACCTTGACCCTGACAACTCCTTATGGTTACCCTACCATTGCATCTAGCTGCATAATGTTTCATATCTTGAAACATGTCACAACCTGTAAAAGTCTCGTATCTTGTAGGAAAAGTACCTGGCACTGGAAACAGAATCTTATCCTAAAAATGTCAGAGGGTATGGGCAGACTCATACTTTTAAGTTAATTGTTTAATATTCAATGCTCATTCTTTCCTGTTGCATTGTCCCTATCCTTCTAGATTTGAAGTTAACAAAAATGTGGTTGCATTTCATCTTCAGTTTCATATTATTAAGTTTTTTCTGTGTCATTCCAATTGGAAAATATTCTCAAGGCAGCAGCTGTTCGATTAGCAATTCTTAGTATTCATTTTGAAAGGTAAAGGGTTAGGTAGCCGAGCGTTGTCCTTGTTTGTAATCGTAGCTTTTGTACATTACTTAGTGTCAGTCGTGTATTTTTGTATTCCTAGACTTCTGTTATTACTTGTTGCTTTCGTTTCGGTTTTCTGATTGCATTACTTAGTATTAGTTTTGTATTTTCGCTTTGATTTTCTGATTGCATTACTTAGTATTAGTTTTGTATTTTCGCTTTGATTTTCTGATTGCATTACTTAGTTTTAGTTTTGTATTTTCGCTTTGGTTTTCTTATTGGTTTGCTTGTTGTTGACCCTTCCTTTTATCTGTCCTGAGCCGAGGGTCTATCGCACACAACCTCTCTGCCTTTTTTAAGGTAGGGGTAAGATCTGCATACAATACCCTCCTCAGACCCCACTTGTGGGATTACACTGAGTTTGTTGTTGTAGTATTCATTTTGAACCACAAATTATGTTTCATAGATGCAATTAATTAGATGAATCAACGCAGCTTCTCAGACACTTAACGCATGATTACTTGTTGATGGAAACTTCACGGCTTCTGAAGTTCATTTTGTGTTAACAGGTAACAGACAACAGAAGTTATAAACCAGAAAGCGAAGAAGACTATAACAACATGTACTGGAGACAAACAGAGCTTATGGATGGCGAAGACGGGGAACTATCCTGGTTCAATGCTGGAGTCCGAGTTGGTGTTGGGATTGGCCTTGGCATTTGTGTAGGAGTTGGAGTAGGAGTTGGGTTATTAGTCCGTAGTACTCGAAAATTACGAAGGCGCCTTATGTAATTATATATAGCATAATCCAAAGGCTAACAACAGAAAGATACTTGTTTTAAGAGTATATTCTACTTGTTAAACAAGCTTAGCATGTTTTCTGCTTCCCTTCCCCTAGTTTCTTTTTACCTCTCCAGTTTGCTGCCTTTTGAGTTTTGTAGCTGAGGAGTGCAACAGGTTGCTAAAGCTGTATGCACATGTTTAGCTGATGTTACATCATGTTTAAGCTTGTTTTGTTTTTGTGTAAATGTTTAGTTTTTGATAAGGTTTTGTATTTGAGATACTTATGTCCTGGAATTAGTGCCCTATTAATTGATGAAAAAGCAAGGGGAGCCTTGGAGCTCGATCAAATTGTCTCTGTGTGACCTATAAGTCATGGGTTCGAGCCATGGAATCAGCCACTTGATCGTGTTCGAGCCATGGAATCAGCCACTGATACTTGAATCTGGGTAGGCTGCCTACATAACATACCCTTGGGGTGCACCCCCCTCCTTTTTTTTTTAAAGTGATGAAAAAGCAGTCTACAATTTGTTCCAACAAATTTAATCCTCTGGAAAAAACAGCAAAAAAAATTAAATATGTATACAGCTGCTGTTAAAGTGTATTAAAAATGTCTGCCTGACTTAAATCAAAGAAAAAATACATTATCATAGATGGGAGATTAAACTTATATAACACAAAACAGACAAGTGTTGATTTCAAATTTTCAATTAGTTTGTTATTTAGACGTAATTAAATTAATATGTACTAGTTGATTACTCCTACTGTTCCATTTTGTTGTCATGTTTGCTAAAACTAATTGTTCCCAAATGTACTTGTCATTTAGAAAATCAAGAAAGAACTAATTATTTTCTCGGTAAATAAGTAATTAACTTGCTAATAGAAAATAGATTAATGTGGTCAAAGATTAAAGAATTAGCAAGTCTTAATCAAATTTAATGTTTTCTCGAAGGACATGTAAAAATTTATCCCGACAACAACAACAACAAACATTACCCCTATCTTGTGAAGGCAAAGAGGCTGTTTAAAGATGTTGTTTCAGATAGACCTTCAGCTCAGGGGGAAAAAAAACAGGAGCATATAGTCGCCAAAAAAAAAAAGAACTAAGTTTTAGCAACAATTGCCTGCATCATAAGAATACAAACCTGAGATTCCAGATTCTCATTCTGCTAAAACTTCCTCTTCATCTTCAGAAGACAACTAAATGGGAACAAAGGGAGTAATTGACTGATTGTAGTATTTTATGGTAGACGGTACCGACTCTCTCGATGCTGTTGATATTAAATGAAAATGGAAAAGCAAGACAGGAAAGATTAAGTAAAAGGTGAAAGAGGGGAAGATGAAGCCTTAAAGCTTGCAGCTCTTTGACTCTAAATAGAGCATAATACAACCAATAAATAAGGTACCAAGGTTTTCAGCTGCCATGAGTTAAATCTAGAAAATAACCTCAGGAAGTGTTCTAGTCTCTGATAATATGCTGGGGGTGGGTGGGGT